TGATTCTTTGGGATTGACTTGTTTTGCTTAGCATGATATTCTCCTGCTCCACTCATTTACCAGAAAATGCTATCATTTCATTCTTCTTTAAGGCTGTGTAATATTCCATTGTGTGTGTGTGTGTGTGTGTGTGTGTGCAAAATAATTTCTTTATCCATCATTCATCTGTGGCAGGGCACCTAGGTTAGTTCCATAGTTGTCTTTTTTTTGTTGTTTTTTGTCTTTTGTTTTCAAAATGGAGCATACGGGTTATTTTTTATTAGATGCTGAATGCAATAAGTGTTATGTAGTTGGATGTTTAGATTTTGTTGCTGGGTAGTTAATTTATTTGCAGATCAACTTGAGCATTCTGAACCTTGTGTTTCAGCTTAGTTAGGTCAGGTCTAGAGTCGTCTTTACTCTGGGGCTCGTGTAGTCCTTTACTAAGGTTTGATTTTTCTGAGGCCTCTATGATGTTTCCTAGTTGCTTGACAAGGACTTTCCATTCTGATCAGTCTAAAATTCAGTGTCTCCTGGCCTCTGGCTTTCTGGGGGTACTAAGTTCCTTGGTAATTGTCCTTTGCCCATTCTCCTGACCTTTCACCCCATAGACATACTTCTTACAGTTCAACCACCGTTCCACGGGGAAGGCGGTGCAGGCTGCTGGAGCTCTTGTTGTATTCTATGGTAGGGTTTATGCACATTTCAGCCTCCCTAAGCTCAACCCTTGCCTCCTTAGCTCAGTGGGACTTCCATGCTCCCCCTGGGTCCTTCTGCCTGTGCTGCAGTCGTGACCTTGCCCCCAGGCAGAAATCTGGGGTAGTGATAAGACTCGCCTCATTTGCTTTCCTGCTGTCAAAGGCCACAGCCCTGAACTGCACGTTACCCACATCATCAAAGTGTCATGCACTTTTCTAGATTATGCTGCGAGGGTTACTCAGTTATGACTGGAGGCGACCACACTTACTAAGTGTGTGAAACGTTTCAGTCTGGACGCCAGTTACCAGGGTGAGAGAACACAGGCTTGTGGTAGAATTGAAACTCAGGGCGGGGAAATAATTCATCCAAGGCAAAGCTGTTGTTGGAACTGGGTGCAGAGTCCAGGAGTTTGGTTCTTTTTCTGTTCAAGCCACATCATCCAGTCCCCGCTGTAGCTGCTCTGAGCTCCCCCCTCCTTCAGCTTCCCCTCAGTCCCTATTTCCAGCATCACATGAGATGCTGACTTCTTCAGTCAGGATCCCCCCAGGACTCCCCAGACCCCCATTCCGACTAAGTGGAAAAGGTATCAGATCACTCATTGGCTCCACCATGAGCCAGTGGGATGACCCCTTTGTGCCCACTTTGGCTGTGCCTCAGATGGCCTGATCCCTCACCAACATGGACATGTGACCGGGTCTGTGAAAGCATGCTGCGGACCCGCACTGTGAACCGCCACACTGGAGGAAATGGGATTCTTCAAAGAACAATGAGAATCATAAACATCCATCTCTGTGCGTCAGGCCCCAACAGGCTGAAGGTCCTGAATAAAGATGCCCTCCTTACTGAGCAGCCTTCCAGATACTTGTCACCCTGCTGTGGGGCTGCAGTTACCAGAAAGCCTCCTCTCTTTTCAAGGTCATGACCTTACCAGGGTAGCCCACATTTGGTGACTGAATGAGATGGGGGTCTAAAGGCTCAGGAAAATTTGGGTCTGAAGTGTGAACTTGCTGATGGATGTCACTTGCTGTAGGACTTCTATCGAGGTTGGGCTCAGCTTTGTTAAAGCTGCCTAAAAACTCAGCTTCTTCCTGCAGCCCAATCCTGTTCCCTCCCTTCCTTTCACAAGTGATAACTCCTGATAAACAACTTGTGCCCACACTCCAGCTCCACATCTGCTTCCGGAGAACCCAGCCTGTGACACAGGGAATGACCACGGGGCTATGACAGCTAAGGTCCAGTCCAGTTTCTCTGCAACCAGGGAAAGCACCGGCAGTCGGTGATGACTCCACAGGAGGGTCACCCTGAGACCTCAGGCTTTTGCTCCTCACAATACTCCACCTTTTTTCCATTTAAATGTGAACATCCAGAAATCCCTGGAAAATAATAGTAGATAATATTAAGTAATAATCATGGAGTGTACAGTCTGAACCGGGTATTAGACTAAGTGCTTCACATACATTATCACATTTAATCCCCTCCAATAGCTCTACTAATAGCACCCCATTTTATCCTAGTCTCTGTCTTGCAAAACATTGGGCCAGGGCCATGGGTGGATGGCGGCTGAGTCTTGGCCTCAACTTGAACAACCCAAGTCCCTGTGGGCGGCTGCATTCTCATGACTGGCTGATGCTTACATCCTCTTTTTCTCCCTTCCCCCCTCACCTCTCCATTTTGCAGATCTGGCAGCCCCTGCTGAGGCCCCACTAACAGATCAGAGAGACTCTCAGTACCCAACCCCCACCTTCAAAAATAGGAAGAGGAGAAGCTCTTAGCCCACATCCTGCTTCGAAGCAAAGTTCCCACAGGTGGATCAGCCCAAGCATAACATCTTTCAACTCACAGCCAATTTAGCAACCACACAGCTTGTGCCTCCAAGAGGTCACCCATTCATTCACCAGCAATGGACTACCCACCACAAAACTGTTGTGGATAGTGGTCCATTCACTTATTCTTGCACTAGTCCATTTAACAGTGACTTACTGAGATCCAATTTTGTTTAAAGCACAAGTCTTGAAGTTATGGCAGGATCAAGAAACAGTCTTGAGCTCACATTCCACTTAGTGGAAGGCAGAAGGGTTCAAGTCCATTATCAAACAACTTTTTAACAGCTGAGTCATCCACACACAAAGTCCAGAATGTGTACAAGAGATTTGAGTTCAGGTTTGGCAGGAACTGCTCATTTATTAAGGGTCCCAGGAGCAGTGAGGTGTTTGGAACCTTCTGAAGTCCCCCCCCCCAACCCCCCTGCTTGGTTCTTCAATGGGCCTAGTTTTACTTAGACTCTCTGGGTGCCTCACAGGCCCAAAGCTCTCACTAGCTCTCTGAATCTGCTGATGTCTCTTCTATCCCCACCTGACCCCTAGGGAACCTGGCCTCTTTATGCCTTCCTCTGTGTCCTTCCTTGTAGATGGAAGGACTCAGAGGGACTTCCTTATAGATGGAAGGACTCTTAGCAGGTATCCCCAGTGCTCCATGCTGACACATGCTAATAGAGCCATCTCTACCTCAGTCTATAGGCACACAAACAAAATCCCCTTTCTGTTATATCAAGCTGAGGCCTGGATAAGTCCCCAGAATATAAGACAGGAGGGTCCAAGCCTTAGGAATGCAAATGTTTTAGGGCAAACCAGAAAAACTCACTTTGCCCTATTTCGAAAAGATCATTTCTTCTTACTTATTTTCCCCCTTTGATTTTCACTGGTATTCTCCCTCTGCTTCCTCTTTTTTGGTGCAAACCTATTTCCACAGTGAGCAAGATCATGACCTAATTCCTGTCTCCGTACCCATCCTCCCAACTTTTCTGAGACATCCCCAAGCCAAGAGAGGATAAATTACCTTCCCAAGACACGAGCGCAGAGCCGACCCGCTGTTGAGCTGCCCAACAATCACCATCAGAGGGCGCTACTCCCCCATATCTCCTGCTACGGTGGCGCTCGCTGGAGTCATTCTACTCTGGACCCAGGGTTGTGTTTGGACCTGAGACAGTGTTGCATTTTTCTCAGTGACTAATAAATAGCCAACCTTCATTGTTATTTCCTCCTGTGACAGAATGGGGTTCCCGATTTTTCTCCTCGGGTTGAAGCATAGTTCGGAGCTAACCTGGGTCCTCCCGGAGGTTGGAACAGAGCTAGGTTTGCCTTCCCAGGCCCCTTGTAAATCAAGGGGACCCAGGGCTGGCTTTTAAATCTGGCCTTATATGTCAAGAAGTAGGCATCCTAGGCTCCTGCTTAACTCGTGGATCTCAGTCCCCACGACGCCCCTACTCTCGCACGGTTCCCGTCGGCCACAGGTAACTGGCTCCCGCGCCTGCAGCTCCACTGCGGTCCGGCTGCAGAGGGTGTCGCTCCCTTCTCCCTGGCAGAGTCCGGACTCGCGATCCAGCTCAAAGCTTGCTTTTTGCAGGAAGCCGGCCTGGATCCCCCGAGGGCAGGGAAGAATTCCCACTCAGCACTGCTCCACCTTCTGCCTGCACTGCTGCCGCGTCCGAATGTTAATTCTCTGCTCCTTTATCCTGCCTCTTAGGTAGCTCTCACCTCTGTCCTCTCTTTCCAAGGCTAGTGGAAGACGCTTTAGATGTAGATGGACAGACGACATCAAAAATACTTTTTAAGCCTGGCATGGTGGCGCACGCCTGTTAATCCCAGCGGCTGGGGAGGCTGAGGCAGGAGAATCGTGAGTTCACAGCCAACCTCAGCAAAAGCGAGGCATTAAGCAAACTCAGAATAGGGCTGGGGATGTGGCTCAGTGGTTGAATGCAATCCCTGTTAGCTAACTTTCCTCTTTTACAAACATCCAGCATGTGTTTACACACACTAAGATGGCTACAACATCACAAACAACAGCATCTTACAGGACTGCCCTCAGGACCACCAACAGGTATGTGCCTGTCACTGATAGAAATGTCATGATGAGTACACGACTGTGTTTTCATGACATGAAAGGATGCTTTGTCATGAATTGTTACGTGTGTGTGTGTGTGTGTGTGTAGAGAGAGAGAGAGGAGAAGCAGCCTGGAACAGGAGATAGAAATGATACATAACAAAGTGATAAAAGTATTTTTTTAAAAAAAGAATTAGTAAATACTTTCAATTTCTGCTTTATATTCCTAAATCTCCTTTAGGGTGTTGCTGTAATATATATTTGCAACAATTATATTTTTAAAATTTTCAGTTTGGAGAAGAAAAAAAAATGATTTCATTTTTGCATTCATCTCCCACACTGAAAACATAAATCACTAGAAAACTGGAATCAAGTCATATTTGGTTTACTGTTTTACATAGTAGCTGACATAACACTCCATTAATATTTTTTTTTTTTATGAATGAAGTGTCTTTTTTAATTGAAAAGCTATCAAACTGTCTAGTTACATTTCTCCCCTCCAAATCCACAAACTGGGTAATAACCGAGTCTCTAGGCAACATATTCAAAGCTGATTAAAAAAACAAAAAACCCGAGTCCTTCGGTCCAATTAAGGGAACCCTGCTACATACAGGCAAATCTATCCCAGTGGTACTGCTCGACTCCAGGAGGCTGGAAGAAATCCTAACAACCCCAACTCAGAACATTTACTTCAAGTAGCCTTTTTCCAGTTTCCAACTCATGAATAAAGATAATATTTTTTAATTCTATTTCAGAAAATTTTTTGCAAGTTGTTTTATTTACAACGCCAACTTTTAAAAGCTCACTAAAGTTAACTGTACAATAAACTAGGCAGAAATCGCTTTACAAAAGGAGGGAAAGCCCAAAATGCCACTTTCTACAGAGAACCCACAGTTCAGTTTTATTCAGAGTAAAGAAAAAAAGAAACTTTCTCTCACACTAAAAGAAATTCAGCCATAGGTTTAGAGTCTGTACTCAAAGTACACATGCAATAAGGACAATATTATGCTAATACAATTGATTTGCTGCTGCATTTGTCTACTGTTTGTCTAATATTAACAATTATAAACAGAGCAGTGCAACTAGTATTTGGAACAATCCTTATAGTGTTACAGTGTCAGGTACATTTCACTTCTCTTCACACCACTGGTTCTCTTTGCGTACCTGGGCTTCCTCCTCTTCAGTAAAGTCATTTTTGATATTGAAGGTTTTCCGAATCTCCTCAGGAGTTTTCCCCTTGATCATATTGGCAACAGTCTTGCACGTAATATCAAGCAAACCTTTGATGTCTAAGTAGTTTGCAGCCAGAATAAGTTCAAAAAGTGTTCCTTGGTCAACTTTCAGGAATTCTTGGTCCCAAACAGGGATATCGTCTGTTCGCTTTTCTTTGTTCTCATCATCCTCAGGAGGAGGGGGGTCATCCTTGTGGTGTGTGCACCACTGAATGACCTTTTTTAATATTGCTGCATTAACATTTGGTAGAGGAACTGGGTCATCATCTCCTTCATCATCCATTCCCAAATCTTCCAACATGGTCTTGATTGTCACAGATTGTTTGGCAATTTCTACGTCAACTTCAAATATCTCCCCATCAGAACTCTGCAACTTAATTGAAGGCATGGTGTTTGGTCTCAAGAAAAACGGCGGTCCGGAGGCTGAAGGGAGCGGGGCGGCGACCACACGAGGAAATAAAAAGGTGCTGGACAAGGCCATTCCCAATATTTTTTTAATATTTATTCTTAAGTTTTAGGTGGACACAATATCTTTATTTTACATTTATGTGGTGCTGAGGATTGAACCCAGTGCCTCGTACATGGTAGGCAAGAGCTCTACCACTGAGCCACAACTCCAGCCCTCCATTAATATTTTTTAAAATTTTTTCTTAGTTGTAGATGGATACAATATCTTTATTTATTTATTTTTATGTGGTGTTGAGGAGCAAACCCAGTGCCTCACCTGTGTGAAGCAGGTGCTCTACCACTGAGCTACAGCCCCCATTAATATTTTTAATGGATTTTCTTCTTACATTTTAAAGGTGGGTGCTCCATTTATTGTATACTTTATTCCTGATACCATTATATTTAACTGTATTTACATATTTGCCCACTGAATTAGAGTGTAAGTTCCTGGAGGCAGATCAAATCATCTTTTGTAAGCCTTAGTAGTTCATTCATGACAGATTTCCCATAAGTGTTTGTTGGATTTGAATGTGGAATGATTGAAAGCTGTGTTCCTCCCTGGGCTCCAAACCCTTCACTATTGTTCCTCTCCTTTGCCCCAGTGGATCTTTTTGTTTAGAACCTACCAGTGGTTCTGGTAACTGGGAACAAGCACAGGTCTAGTAAAAAGTGTCTATAAGTTTTGGGTTTGAGTCAGAACAGGCAAAGGAGCAGCAGAAGAAGAAAGTCTGAATAATTGCCATGACCTTGACAGAGAAAGTAAAAATCTGATTGACTGTTTTCTCTTTTCATTCTGGGAAAAGTTTATCATTTACTAGAAAGGAAAAGTAATTTCTTCATCCATCAATGTAATATGGCACAAAAAAGAAGAGATAAGTAATTGATAACTTTCTTAAGGTATTGTTAGTGTTCCTGGTTGTCTGATTAATAACACCAAGACAAACATCTGTAAGGAAATGTGAGCAAGCGCACAATTCACAGGCACACTTGTGAAATACCATTTTGGCGAGTTGGGAAATGCCTGCTATCCCACTTGAAGTCAATAGGCTTGAGACTTAATTTTAGGTTCTTATCCTAAGGATAAGTGGGTTCCTGGATTTATAATTAAACCTTTCTGAGTCACAATTTTTCTCCTCTCAAAAATAAGAATATTGTCAGGTGTGGTGGAGCATGCCTGTAATCCCAGTGGTTTAGGAGATTGAGGATCACAAGTTCAAAGCCAACCTCAACAATTTAGCAAGGCCCTAAGCAACTCAGCAAGACCCTGTCTCAAAATACAAAATAAAAAGGGCTGTGAACATGATTCAGTTATTAAGTGCCTCTGGGTTCAATCCCTAGTGAGATTGAGAGAGAGAGAGAGAGAGAGAGAGAGAGAGAGAGAATTAAAATTGATAAGTGGTTTCTAAACTTTTGTTGTTGCTAATGTCTCAGAACTCTTTCTTTAAGTGAAAATTTAGAGAAGCTCAATGGGTTTGAAATGTAAAGACAGAACTTCTCTGGTTGAAGTTGGTGTAGACATGGAACATCTCTTCCCACAAGACTGTTCCTATTGGGGATCTAGGGAACTCCAGACTCTAAAAGTTCATTGTAAAAGTTACTGGGCAGAATAGTCTCTGGAGTCATTGCCATTTCTGTCAAGGACCCCTAGTCAAAATAGTTGCTAAAATTTGTTGCCAGTTCTGGTAGTATGCTAGACTTTAGTCAGGCAATCCTGGAGGCACCAATGTCCAGTGATGACAGCCAGTTAATTATCTTACTTTAAAAGCTCTCTGACAGAAAATTTTTCCTGAGTACTGATGCTCCTTGAATTATCTTGGGGCTGTGTCACAATAAACTCATCATGATTTCAAAATATAGTAAGTAAAGCATTGAATATACCTGACCAACCACACATCATAGCTTAGTAACCCAGTGAAGGATAGAGTATGGGTTTATTTCCCTTGTGATCACGAGGCTGACTGGGATCTGTGGCTTGCTGTTCCTGCCTAGTGTTGCAAGAGAGTATGGCACTTCATATTATGAACCTGGGAAAAGATCAAAATTCACAGTATGCTTTCTATTGAATGCAAGTCACTTTTGCACCATTGTAAAGCTGAAAAATGATGTCAAACTGTTGAGAGCCACAGCCAAAGGGACCCCAGCAAACTTCCAGCTGCCAGCAAACTTCCAGCTGCCAGCTGATGATTGGCTCAAAAAGGCCCCAGCAAACTTCTAGCTGCCAACTGATTGGCTCCTCTGAGGTGATGCTCATTGGGCTGTTTCCCTGCCCTTTCAGACCAGGGAGCTTCTCATTGGGGGACTTTTTTGGCTCCGCCCACACGATCCAGCCAATTGGCCTCAAGAGCAGGAGGAGTCGGGGAGGTTGAGAGGCTTGTGGGAAGCCGGTGGTGGCAGTTGGGCTCTGAGGGAATTCCTGAAGAGCTGTGTGGTTTGGCGTGTGTGTGTGTGTGTGTGTGTGTGTGTGTGTGTGTGTGTGTGTGTTTTCTAAAAATAAAGTTCGTTTCTTTTGACAAGTGGCTCCTGAATTGTGCCCAGCCAGACTGCGGCCTTTGGTGGCCCGCAAGGGGAACGACTTAGGGTAAGTGATAAGGTAAACTGCTCGCCCCTGAGGGCAGGGCGAGAGGATGGGTAGCCATTTTAAGATTCTTCTTTTGTTTTGCTTCACTTTTGCTGGGGCTGCTGTGAGCCAATCATCAGCTGGCAGCTGGAAGTTTGCTGGGGCCCCCTGGAAGTTTGCTGGGGCCCCTTCGGCCTGGTGGCACTTCATATTATGAATCTGGGAAAATATCAAAATTCACAGTATGCTTTCTATTGAATGCAAGTCACTTTTGCACCATTGTAAAGCTGAAAAATGATGTCAAACCATCCAGAGTTTGAGACTACTATAGTTTGGATATGGAATGTTCCCCCAAAGGACTATATATCTTGGTCCTCCATATGGTACTCTTGGAAAGTGGTGGAAACTTTTAAGAGATGGGATCTGATGGGAGGTTTTACACAACTGGGAGCATTCCTTGAAAGAGATTATAGGACACCAGTCTATTTCTATTTGTTTCTTGACTGTTGTGAGGTGAGCAATTGTTTCACCATGTGCTCTCCATCATGATGCACTGCCTCACCCCAGGCTCAAAGGCAATGGGGCTAACCAACCATGAACCGAAACCTCCAAAATGATAAGCCCAGAGTAAATATTTCCCCTTTTAAATCGATTATCTCAGGTATTTTTGTTATAGTAACAGAAAACTGATTAGCACAGAGATCATCTGTATTAAAAAAATAAAATCTCACCGCCTGATCTAGTTTATCTAATCAACTGAAAATGTTTGAGATATCCATCAAAACTAGTGAAATATTCTGAATATTGTAGTAAACGCCTTGCTTTACCACATTCTATCAAACAAATGTGATAATCCCGGAACAGACTCAAACTTTACCTTCTCCCAGGGATCCTAACTCACTGCAACTAGTACAGCACCGGTCCAATGAGCACTATCTGAGAATCGTTTATCTATTCTAACTCCAAAAGTATAAAGTTCTATTTTTCCCCCAAAACAAACTCAATTGATTTTCTAGGTAAAACTCGGAGTCTCCATAGTAGCTTTCCCTTAAATGAACAAATAAAAAGTGCTTTCCTAAATGTCATTTCAATTTTCAAGGAGAAGATACACATTTGAATGCATAACAAGCTTAGTATTAAGCCATATTACATTTTGTTTCATCTTACCGAAAATTAAGAACAAGATTAAGGCTTTCCACACCATTTATCTGTCATTCTCTCAGGGGGCTGAGCTCTTTTCATACCCACCCAGGTTCTATATGCTTCTGGGCTCTTGAGAATGATTAGACAGGTGTCTCAGTTCTGGCTGCTGTAATATAGCAGACTGTACGGCATTGACTGGGTGACATAAACAATAAACATTTACTTCTCATAGTCTGGAAGCTGGAAAGTTCCAGATTAAGCTGCATGCACATTAGGTGTCTGGTGATGTCTCTCTTCCTCGTTTGTAGACAGCTAGCTTCTTCCTGTATCCTCTCATGGTGAAGAAGGACACTAACCCCATTCATGAGGTATCTACCTTCATGAACTCATTATTTCCCTAAATATTTCCCTTTTCCAAATACCATCACACCAGGGACTCAGTGTTTCAGCATATGAATTTTGGAGGACATAAATATTCATCCCATTACAAGAGGAAAGAACTCTGGTAAATCAAGTTCGATGCTTACTGCTAAAGATGGCTGACCACAATGAGACTAGAGTTGTGGCTCAAAGGGGTAGAGCGCTCACCTAGCACTCGTGAGGCACTGGGTTCAACAGTCAGCACCACTTAAAAAATAAAATAAAGGTATTGTGTCCACCTACAACTAAAAATAAATATTTAGGGAAAAAAATGACTGACCACAAGTTTCTCTCTAATTCACACATTGATTTTTTTAAAAGTGTTATTTTTTCCAGGGCAAATTCAGACATTTTTAAAAGTGACATTTATCATGTTTTCTTCCTAACTGAAAAAGTAGTTCACTGTCACAAAATAATAATAATAATAATCATCATCATCATCACCATCATCATCATCATCCCAAGGAAATTACTGGTTTATGAATTCCTTGAAGACATCAAAGGGAAAGTCAAGTTTCTTCTTTCGAACTCTTCCATCCTTTCCATCCAGCCTGCTCTCAAGATTCAAGTTGTATCTTTCTGCATCCTGACCTCTCTTGATCCAAGTGTGACTTCAAGACATAGCTTGTTGGCCAATGCATGGAAACTATTGCCCTTTTTGTACCTTGTCACCTGCAACAGCATGATGAACTCTAAGGTTCTCTTTAGCTTTAATATTCTATGATTCACTAACCATACAAGATAACTCCACTTAACTTCATTGTATTTAATTAATTTGGGGGATACACACAATATTTAACTCTTTAGGGAAGGGTCCCTCTAGGGTCCCATGCAAAAGAAAAAAGGTTCTGAGGAAACACATAAATTACAATCGAATGTTATACCTTATAG